TACAACCAGAAATTTTAAGTCACTTGCCCAAGATTACACAGCTAGTAAGTAGAGGACCTGAATCTGAACTCAGGGAATCAGGCTCTGGAGTTCATACTCTTAAGCACCGTAATCTCCTGCCTCACTATAATACGTGGATACTTGTACCTACTTCAGAAGTGTTCTCCAGATTAAATGCTACCACTGAATGTAAAATGCTTAGCTGAGCACATGGCACATAGTAAGGGCTTAATAAATGTCAACTATAATTATCTTTATTGTTATCTGATACCTTCCAGACACGAGCAAGGAAAAGGGTCAGTCCCATAAACATGAAGCCTAAAAGATGCTCATAGTAGCCTTAAAGAGAGTAGCTCTTTGCCTTCATTAAGAACTATCCCAAGGAGGGTATTTAATAAAACATTCCTGAGCCACCACTGCTGGAGAGCTTGAAATGGCAGCCCCCAGGTGACCCATGACTGCCGGCAGATGCACCTTGATAGCCTCTCCCCCTCCTTTATAGCATCTCCATGGAAGCCCCAAGAGCGAGGAGGGAAGGGATTGTCTGAAACTAAGCCATCATTATAGTTGGACAGGAACAGCTTTGAGAATTCTAAACAACACTTCCAGGAAACCATTTTCCTCAAGAGTCAGGGCACTGTGAGCAGAACTTGTTTGAGCTTTTAAAGGCAGCTTCCCTCCGCATTTTTTCAGGGAGCCACAGGACAGAGGATGTTTCTGGAGGCTGTGTCCTGAGCAAGCAGCCGCCATCATTCTATGCCCTTCAGCCCTTCCTACAGTTCAGAATCAGGGAATTGCTTATATAGAAGATGAGGGTGCCACGTGCTGATATCCATGATCTGGGGACCCAGCAGAAGTGGAGAGGACATGTGTCTAACTCAGAAGTCTATCTTTCATCCCCCTCATCATTGTGGACTCTGTTGATAGAAAAGTCGTAACATTCTCCACAAGAAGGCTTAATATTCAAACAGAATTGGAATGCATTCTTCTGAAGGGCAGAAAAATGTGAAATAAATTCTGGCTTTCTCTTTACCCCACCAGCAATTTGCATAAAGCTAAATTGTCTGTGTTTACACAACGGCCTGTATGAGGTTTCCTCAGTTAATTTTTAGTGTATCTCTCATCTCTGATTCTGTATTTTTGCCTCTCCTGATACAGAGTTTTCTTCGTGGTATGTATACATACTCTAAATAATTTAGGATTTTTGATATGTGACTATTGGCCTTTAGGAAAACACAAAAACATTTACTGTAGCGTGTGGATCTGAGAAATTCAGAATATTTGAAGACACCGATAACTAGTCTGTTAGTAGCATAACTTGAAATGTCAAAACTTATATCCAAAAAGTCAATGCCTGAATTCTTCCCCTATTTTTTATTGCTTCTACTTTTTCATTATAGAGTGTGGGTTGTTATGGTGATGGGCAGCTGGGATGTTGAGAGGCTCTTGGAGAAAATATATTATCTATGTGAAATGACCCATTTCTAAGTCGGGTTAGGGATGGCAAATTGAGTCCTCCTGTGGTCCAATCAGTCAAGCTTCATAAGGTTAATAATATATCTAAATGTTACTTGATTGACACAGCTTTGTCTTCTTTACAGTCTCAGGACTCTCAACAGGTCATAGCGCTGGGCGGGGGAGGGTCCTTCAAGCACACAGGCCAAACCTAGTCAACCACTTTTTTTTTGGTGAATAAAGTTTTATTGGAACACAGTCATGCCTGTTTGTGAGCGTAGTGTCTAGGGTTGCTCTTATGCTATAACAGTAGAGTTGAGTAGTCATGATAGAGACTGAAAATGGCCAGCAAAGCCCAAAATATTTACTGTCTGGCTCTTGAAGGAAAAGTTTGCCAACCCCCTGTGGGGTCATGGCTAGGAGAGAAGCAGGATCTTGTTGCAGTAGAAGTCTAGAGAGATGATGATTTCAGGAGACCTGAGCTAATATCTCATCCCCGTGACTAACTACCTGGGTGAACTCAAATACACCTGTGCCCTGTCTTGGTCTGTCTTCTCATTTGTAAAATGCAGATATCTCTGTCCATAGCTGGCATCCTCCTCCAGGGCAGGGCCCCTCATTCTTTGGCCTTTCTTTCCTTCCTCTGTTCACTCCCAGAAGAGCGCCGGTGATATATGCAGCAGGAGCTGAACAAATGTTTGTTGAATGAATGTGTGTCCAACATTATTATCTCAGAGAGTTGTCATAAGGCTCAAATGGGATAATAGTGCACACAGTCTGAGAAATATAACATGATCCAGGCACAAGACACTATTTTATACAGATCCATTTCTGGCTAGAAAGCTAGGACCAGAGAAAATTGGAATTGGCTCACGTGCTCTTCACCTTGATCTTTGTGTACTGGATTCCCTTTGTTTCAGTTTAGTTCTTTCAGTTGCAGGAAACAGACTCCTTCGAGTTACCTCCAAAACCAGAGGTGTATTGTTAGGATAGCTGTGAACTGTAATTAGAACCAGAAAGCTATCAGGACCTGTGGCTGCTTTAAGAACTAATCTCTCGGGGTGCCTGGGTAGCTCAGTCGGTTAAGCGGCTGCCTTCGGCTCAGGTCATGATCCTGGGGTCCTGGGATCGAGCCTGACATCTGGCTCCCTGCTCAGCAGAGAGCCTGCTTCTCCCTCTCCCTCTGCCTGCCACTCTGCCTGCTTGTGCTCTCTCTCTATCTCTCTGTCAAATAAATAAATAAAATCTTTAAAAAAAAAAAAAACTAGTCTCTCTGATTCTCTCTCTCTCTCTCTCATCCTCTCTCTTTTCTCTCTAATCATTTGTTTGGTCTCCTTTCTCTCTGTTGGCTAGTTTCCTCACACTCCATCTTTTCTGCTCACGCAGAAGTTTGGATTACTGATGGTTTGTCTTTCATATCTCAAGGTGTATTTTCATCCTCAGATGCTGTGCCATTTCAGTCTACCCAGCTTTATAATTTTCAACACCTCAGAGCAGTCTGATTGGCCAATTGTAGCTTTTCATCCCAGGTCACGGGGGTCATAAGTCATTGGCTATCTTTTGGATTTATTGTTCTTGGGTCACATAGTGTGCACATGGCCCAATTAGCTGGCAGGTGGGAGGAGGTCATTAGAAGGAAGCAATGGAGGATGTGGGGGCAAACGCTGAATCACATTCCAAATGTGACCCACTCTTTGCTCCACCTTCCTTGTATAGACTCTGCCTCATACTCGATTCTGTAAAATAGCTCCCGTGTGGCCCATGACTGGTGGCAGTTAAAGGTGGAAGGCCAATTTCCCAAGCCTCCAGCATGTTTGCTGACATGAAAGCTATGATGTTTTCAGATGTGGTATCCCCACAATGTCCTTGAGGTTTTCCTTCTGTGAAGCCTGTGAGGTTGGACCATTATGTAGAGATAAGGTGGGGATCCCATGGCTGGACACCTGGAACCTCTGGGAAATGGGACTGAGAAACTGGGGTTGAGGAGGACTTGTATCAGGAAAGCCTTTTGAGTCCTATTAGTCATCCAGAATCCCTATATCCCTCGCTGAAGCTAAATTGATTAGGATCTGTTAATTTACTTAGGGTTGAAGCCAAGCACAATAGGCAAAAAAAAAAAAAAAAAAAAAAGATTGTCTTAGAAGACTTCTCCTATTGGCTTCTTACCACCACTAGGACTTGTTATCCTCATGATTCTACCCTATTATTTCTCTTCCTCCTTTCTTTCACTTTCACTAGACATTGAATTCATTAGGCTTATTTTCCTTGGGAGAAGCTAACTAATAAATGTGATAAATTAGCTGTGTAACTGGGTGAGAGACCTCATCTGGGATTCCTCTTATCCTCACCACTTGCTCCACAGGCCAAAAATGCTAGTTAGAGATCTTGTATTATAAGATGTTAAAACAGACTCAGGCTAATTTAAGCAGAAAACAAATGTATTAGAAGGCTGTTGGATCCCAGAATCAATGAGAAGGCTGGGAAACCCAGCTCAGAAAGGGAAAGGAATGCTCTGGTATCTGGGTGGGATGAAGTGGACAAAATCCTTGAAAATGTGTCACTGTGGAAGAAGTGATGTCATCTACTTTGTCTCCCTATGGCTCTCTACTCAAGATTCAAAGTCACAGCAGAAAGGGCTGCTCTGCTACACTTGAGCCATATACCTTTGGGTGGGAGGTAAAGTGCCTTGGCTTTTGGTATCATTAAGACCATACACAGTGAGTGAGAGGCAATTCTTCCAAAGGAAACTAAGGAGATCTTAATAAAGCTACAGGGATTAGATCCTGGGCTACCAAAACCCCACAGATGTGCTATACTCCAAAGCAGAGACTATGACAGTAGGGATCTTTAAAAATGGTGGAGAGGCGGACCCTCTGGGCATAAGGCTGCCTCATTCAGATCACATCTTATCAGAATCAGATCGTATTTTGTCAGACACTTCACACATTGAGAATGGAGTGGTGTTCTTTGCTCCTAAGACAGTTTCTGTTCACTGAAGCCAGACCAGCATGTAATCAGAGCAGATACACATCTCCAAGCTGTGATTTGATGAGTTCTTGGAAGCCTCCCCTCCCAACACTATCCCTTTAGCCCCCAGCCACTTCTTGATGCCTGGAATCACACCGTGCTTGAGCAATCTCTTTGGATTCAGTATTCCTATCTCCAATCCAATTCAACTGGCAAATGGCTCTAGAAAAGGGCAGCATCTTGAATCCTTAACATCTGAGATTGAACAAATTTTTCATTCATTTACATTAAATCAGTTCGAAACAACAAACACTGAGCACCTATTTTGTGCCAGAGACGATGCTGTATGCTAGCATATCATGGTAAATAAGACAGAAGCAGTCACTAAAGTCATGGACCTTACAGACCAGCGAGAAAAACAGGTACATTAAAGTTCATAAGTGATTTTGAGAGCAATAAGGCCCTGGGGGAAGAGGGAGAAGCAGGTACAGAACAGGGAGGGTGTGGGAAGAAAAGGTGAGCTCTTTGGAGTATGGGACAGTTCTTCCAGAACCCATGTTCTGCTGTTGGCTCTCTAGGTCGTGTGGGCTGCTTTTCACCTTCCCAGCCTGTCAAAGCTGAGTGCAAGGATCCCAGCAGAGAGTGTGGACCTGAGACCTGCAATTAGCACTTCTGGCAGATCCACGTGTTTGAAGACAAGGTAAGAAAATCCTTGGTCTCTCCTGAGGCCACCAGCCATCATGGGGTAAGTTGACCCAGGCTGCTTTACTACGCTGTTTGCTCCATATAGTACAATAAAATATTATGTTAGTGTTCTTTGTCTTTCAACCACATCATTAATTCTCATTACTTTGTCATCTAAACATTTTTGCGTGAATATCAGACAACTGCGTTTTGGGGCGAATGGCTTCAAAGAATGAATCTGTCAAGGATGTGATATATGAGTTTAAATCTTTTATTGCCTGTAATTATTCTTTTATTTTAAGGGGTCTATTCCCCCTTTTTATATTCCTCCAGGTAGGAGGCTAATGTGGTTACAATAACGAAATTAGCTCATCACTTACTAACTGTTAATTTAATTTTTAATTGTCCATTAAATCAGGCGCTGGGCTGTTTATATTTTAATTTTTAATGTCAGAGAGTTAAATTGCTTTCCAAATGAAGGTTAACAAGGGAGGGCTTTTCCTGACTCTGGAATCATGTGGCATCACAAACGTGATGCTGCTGTTTGGAGTACGGACGAAGCCTGAAGAATGAAGATAATCATAGGTATTTATTGAGTACTCACTATGTGCTAGAGTCTGTGCTAAGTGTTTAGATGTGTTATTGATTCCATAAAAAAATTCTATGGTGTAGTTCTATTCTTACTTCCATTTTACATATGACAGAGCTGAGGCTCGGAGAGGGCAAGACATGAGCTTAAGGCTCCGCATCTCGTAACTGGCTGAGCCTAGGATTGAACCAAAGTCCCTTTAGCATCAGTCCTGGCACTCTGAACTGAAATGCTACATTGCCTTGTTTGAAGATGTTGCTCCGAAGAAGTATCAGGGAAAGACATGAGAGCACGCAGGCAGTGTAGTATAATGAGAAGGGTCAGGCCATGGAGGCACACTAACAGGTTCCCCAAAATTAAGATTCAGAATTCTCGGACAGGGTGATGCAACAGGTCCTTCCAGACCCTTGCATTCTCAGATACTGTGACATTTCACCTGCAGCTAAGGGCTATTAGGAGCTGAGGTTCTCATGGCCAGAGAAGAGCTTGGAGTTGTGGGCATCCCTTCTGCCAAAAACATGGAGAGGTCAGGGTGATACCCCTTCCTGGGTCCTTTCTCTGGTCCTTATAGACAAGAAAGAATAACAATATGAGGTGTCGTGTCGTAGCTAGTTGGGCAAACAGTGCTGTGTGTGTGTAGTGTGTACACGCATGTGTGCACACATGGACTTGTGTGTGCATGTATATGAGTGTGCATGCATGTACTTATATGCACGTATGTACTTGTGTGTTTGAGTATGTACATGCGTGTGAGTGTATGCAGACACGTACTCGTATGCATGGACATGTGTGCGCCTATGCACATATGCATGCGTGTACTTGTGTGTTTGTGTGTGCGCATGTGTATGCGTGTGCATACATGTACTAATGTGTGTGTGCACACATGTGTGATGCATGTGCTTGTGAGCATGAGCATGTGTGAGTGTGTGTACACCTGTGTATGGGTATACATCTGTGCGTGCATGTGCTTGAGTATATGTGTACATGTGTACAAGTGTGCATGCATGTACTTGTGTCTGCATGCGTACAAATATGTGCGTGTATGTGCTTTTGAGCATGGATGCCTGTACTTGTATGTGTGTGTGCATGTGTATGAGTGTTCATGCATGTGCATGTGCATGTGTGTGCATGTGTGTGTGTGTGTGTGTATTGTTCAGCAGTAACTAAGGAATCTGGGAAGCCAGGGGAATATACAGCAGAAGAAAGAGCCAGAGGGGACAAAAGCCAGAGCAGTTGCTAAAATTACTTATTTTGAGAGTATCTCTAAACATCCGTCACAGGAGCAACACTTGAGGCTCTCCTCAGTTAACCTCTAACTAGAGATAAGATGATAGGTAACTGAGAACTAAGTAGCTCCTTCCTTCCTCCCTTCTTCCTCTTTCCCTGCCTCTCACGCTCCCTCCCTTTCTCCCTGCCCGCCCCCCCCCCACTTCTTTCCTTCCCTCTGACAAATACTTAAGGGCATTCTCTGATTCAGACCCTGCATTAGGTGCTATGGAGACAGTACTACAAAGAGGGGCTCTCTTCCTGCATACTGAGAGGTCACAGTCTAGAAGTTTCCCAGGGACGTGAAATATGGGAAAAGTGCCTTGCATTCGCCCTCTACCTCAGGAAGTGGAATCCTCCCCCTCTCATTCTGAGTGGAGTCAAACTGGAAGAGAAATATGCCATTGCCAGACACATTCAATCCATTTCGGTTTGTGCCAGGGTCTGCTTCTTCCATGACACCCGGAAGCATCGCCGCGTAGAGGTAGAGAGTATGGACTCTGGAGGCAGACTTCTGGGGTCCAAATCCTGCCTTCTCTGTGTCTAGCTTCTAGACCTTGGACAAGTCACCTAACCCCTTTGTGCCTCAGTTTCCTCATCTGTAAAATAGGGATAATAAGAGTTTCTACCTTAGAGAATTGTTGCCAGCATTAGATAAGAATATTTACAAAGTGCTTAGGAAAGTGTCTGGCCCATACTAAATGCTAGGTAAAGGTTTGTTTGTTAAGTAGATGAAATTTCCATTGCATATCCCTACGTAGCTCCTGGACTAATAACCAGGTCCAGACTTAGCTGATTTCCTCATGGGCTTTGTTGTATGTGATCCTAGGGCTCTAATTGTAAGGAAGTGAGACATCCAAGTTCATTTAAACCTTTCTCTCCTCCCTCCCCATGAGCAGACTCCAGGCACCGCCAACCTTTACTTTGTATCAAGAGTGCCCAAGGACATTTGTTTTGTAGAATTCTTGGAAACCTTGCTAGATAGGTTGCCTGGGTGACATGGACAATTTTTTTATATGCTTGATACCTATGGCCCAGATTTTAGCTCCTGAGAATTAAAATGTTTATGCACTGAACTGTGTCCCTAAGGAACAAATTGTATATGTGTAGAATGTACATGTTTAGGAATATTAGCCTGGTAGTAAGCCTGCCTGGGTCCACAGATGTCCCTCTCTTTCCTAAGAAGAATATCGGGCAAGATTCCAAAAGAATGAAAGGCCTAAGTAAAGCTCACATTCTGATCCTGTGCCCCCACAGCACTTCCAGACCCATCCATGGGCTTCTGGAAAACAATTGAGTCCTAAAAGGAAACAAGAGGAACAGTCAATGGGGCCTGATGTACTGGATAAATTCCCACTGTGATTAAATTTCATATTTTACCCTGGGCTGGGATGGTTTCCAGAGACCAGTTTATGAAAACAGCTATATTGAGCCAACTCTGTTTTCCTAAATAACTGTGAAATTTAGAGCCCTTTTCTGACTTGGCAGGGGCTCAGGGAGGAAAGGGCCCTCACCAGTGAAAGACACCAGCTTGGAGTCTGGTACTACCCAGTTTCTCAGATTACTGTAGGAGATGTGCAGAAGCACACATTGTTTTTAACCAGAATGATGTACTAAAATGACATGGTTTGGGGGGTGAGACATCTTGAGATTTAGTCCTGGCTCTGCTCCTTATTAGGTGAATGCCTTCAGAAAAGTCACGGATCTTTTTACGCCTTAGATCCTTCGTCTGTAAAGTGGGTGTGTTAGCCAATTGTTAGTTATGCTGTGGTAACAAATAGTCCCCCAAATCTTGGTGACCTGCAGCAACAGAGGTTTATTTCTCATTCATATTTCTGTTGTGGTCAGCTCCCAGCTATGGTACTATGGATCTTCTCCATGTAGATTCTTCATTTAGAGCTCCAAAATGAAGAATCATCCATTTCCTATCTTGGTTTTGTGCCTAAGGGATAAGGAGTGATGGTATAGAGTAATGCATTGTCTTTTAAGCTTTTGCTCATATTCCCCTATATTCACTTTTGCTCACATTCCATTTGCCATGGGGGTAGGGATATTACACTTCTCCCACAGAGAGGCAGAGCAAATCACATGGTGGTTAGCAGGGTCATATAACCCTCTTACAGGCAGAGCAGCAAATAATTTGGAACCAGAATATAGCTGCCCACAATGAGATAATAATACTCTCTTCTTCACACGGTAGTTAGGAAGCCCAAATGAAATTATACACATGAAAGTTTATTACAAACTATTAAGTTCTGTGTTCATGCTAATTATTACTCTTTAATGCCAAATTCTCTATGGATCTCATAGAGGTTGAGTGGAGACATATTTTGTGCATATCTCTATTTGTTTGGAAATCTGTTTGTCTTCAGATATATTCCCCATGTGCTTTGAGGGCTATCCTGATGATTGCAATATCAGTTCTCTCCATCCAGCCCTTCTTATAGAACCCTAGAATCCAGAGAGTTTAGTTAGTTTTATGTGCACATGAATGGCCAGCCCAATATTTTGAAAACTCATGATAAAGAATTGTGGCATTGCCTGGCTTTGTGTCACTAAGAATGACAGATTCTCCTGAATGGAGCTGGGCTTTGTCGGATGAGATACGACCCTTCATTGTCCACTACTCATTGATTGACTCTGTTCTTACTGCTGGAGAAGACATTTACAGAATCACATCGGAGACTAGCAAAAATCTCCATGGACAATTGATTAGGAAACAGAATACCTGGAAATCTTGAGAAGGGGACTGAAAAACATGAGAATGCCAGGAAAAAGCTCATTTAGACTTATCAGGAGCCTTCACTAGTTAACTAATTTATTCAATAAATTATATTGAGTACCTACTATATGCTAGGTACTTGGTATTCAAATAATTTCCTCATTAATTTGTTTATTCATTTATTTGATGAATATTTATTGGGCATCTATTATGTGCCACAAATTGTTTTAGGCACTGGGAATATATCGGTGAACAGAACACTCAAAATTCCATGTCATTAAGGAGCTTATCTTTTAGGGATGGGGGACTACTTAGGAGACACACAATAAATAAAATAAATAAGCTAGTAAAATAGATGGTATAATGGTACAAAATTAAGAAAATAAGAAAAGAGGCTAAAGAGTGTTGAAGAAGGGGATGTTTTGAACAGGGTATCTGG